TGACCCAATTCATTAGTTAATAAACCATTTCCAAGAAATAAACCATTTCCAAGAAATTAACCATGGGAATGAATGACTTATTGGCAATGCTTTGTTTCTATATCTGTGTAATTGCTTGTTGCCTCTCGACTGACTAGCATGCTCTTCTAAACTTCAAATTCAAAATAACTTATTATTCCTATGGAATCTTGGCAAATAACTGGTCATGTACTTGAGTAATTTAAAGCTTTATAATGCCAGAAATGGCGAAACAATCTTTACAGCAAATTAATACATCCAACCTCTTCAAGGATTTGCTAATGGCGGAATCTAAACTCTACTGCTCCCAAAAAACTTCTATTATATTTTGCTTATACGTGGCTATGTTAACGTTAATCACTTTCCTTTTCTCTTGTATTAGGTAAATGTCAACATATTAAGGGGGACATTTTGTTTGCGCGTTTTATTCGGGGAACAGGGAAGATTGATGTCAGCTCAATACTATAATGGATATGATTTTATTTTTTCTTTCACAAGAGATAGCTGTATCCAATCTTCTCTTTCAAACAGTCATAAAATAAAGAGCGTGTCAATTTCCTCATTCAAACATAGCGCATTTTCATTAATAGGAAGTTTATTAAATTGTCATGCACTTCAAGTTCTTCACGAAGTATTGCAAATGAAACTTGGGAACTTGTCAGCCCTTGAAGGGATAAACTTGAAAATGTATGCGGATTGTGTACCTTACAAGATAACTGTTTGGGCCAGATTAAAATCTGATTTTAATCTAAATCAAAGTCAAACAATCAATATTAACCACATCTTCCATGGATCCCATATCTTTTCAACCACACATTTCAAAAACTTCTATCACAATCCACTAAATTTTAATCCCCACCAAAAACTCTCGAAATAAGAGCTTGTTTGTCTCCCATTATGGGAGAAATAATGATGTTTTGAATAGTAGTTTTTGGAGAATGTGTGGTTAAAATTGAAAGAAACTTTATTGGTTTATATATAGAATATTTTATTATTTGAATGTGTGGTGGAGATTGATTACTGTACAAAACAATATTTGAAAAAATNTTTGAAAAAATGGTAGACAAACAGGGGCTAAGTAAGTTAAACCTTATATATGTTTCTTGTTTTAATTCATAAAATTTTGTGGGCCATGGTTTATAAGCCATGGTCTTATTTGGCAAACATACCTTTAGTCTGTAGTTCCTTTTTTTTTTTTTTTAATGTATTACCTCACTTCATCTCTTTTAATCTTGTTTCGTACATTACTGGGGTAGCAATCCAAACATCCCGTGAAGGCTTGGATTTGTTAAAGGAGTGAAATCTCACATCGAATAAAGATGAAAATATAGACCAACTTATAAGGATTTTGACTACTTTTCTTAACAAAGTTGACCTTTTAAGATGGAACTCCAAGTTTTAATATGGTATCAAAGCCTATTAAACTCTTGAAGGGTATGTACACATAAATGCTGCTTAGTTGGTAATTCTTCAATTCATTTTAATTCACAGCAAACAGCATATCGCAGGTCCTATTTGTTAGGAATTTATAGAGTTCAATGGCTCTAAAAAAAACATACATTAACATTTGCAGAATATACAAAGAACCTAGGAACTGAAATCTTAGAAACATAAAAAGAGACAGAAATCTTCTTCCCTATTTCTGTCCTAAAGTTACAGGTTCAGGAACAACCTCCATGCTTTGCAAAACGCCATCCAGAGAGAGCACAAGAACCTGCCAGAACCTCTCCTTACTTGGCTTGGATCATCGATCCAAGGATCTACCAAAAGCAGCCAAGATTCACCCCTAAATCACCATTAAGCCCTCGAGAAAACACAACACCACTTAGCCACTATTTCAGGCCTAAGTATACACAAGAGTTCCTCCAATCAAAGGCTAAAGGATCGATTTCAGGGGCTACAGCAAGAGGTGGAAGAAACCAGCCTCAACAAAGATGCAGAGACATGACCGAACTCGAGAGAAGGAAGAAAGAGTTTCAAGGAAGGAAAACCCACGTGAATAATAGAAGACCAAAGGTCAAGCTAAGAAAATATCTCAACCAAGGAATAAATCCCAGCCCTTGATCTCAATCCAATGGTCACAATAAAAACCAAATTAACACAATCCGGATCAAGCCAAAGCTACCAATAGGCGAGTGACACCTAAGCAGCTAAGACAAAATAATAAGTAACAATAGAAATGTTACACATAACACTAGCCCATAAGTATTAGAGGACCACAATTCTCACACTATTCCATACAATTGATAATATATCTAATTTTGAGGTGACGAAGAGTATTCTTTGAATGATAAATTTTGTATCGGTTGTTTGGCATTCAACTTTGAATCAACAAATTATTAATTACTAAATTCTTGAGTATTCGCAGTATCAAAGGGTCTTTAAATGTGTTCATGGTTTCTAAACGCTTCCATTACATCACAAAGGTTGGGGACTTAGAAGCTATAAAGTGAATGGCTGGGAATTCAAATGCTCTAAATGGAAGGTTGGGGATGTGTATGCACTATTTCACACAGATTAAGACCCAGCTCTAATTTTCTCAAAATAAGTATTGCAAGCGTTCCACATATGTAGAAAATTTGACCATATTGTAGTTGTATAATATAGAATTTTGACGTTCATCGTTCTGCTCTTATTCTTCATATGTTTTCTATTGATTTAATGATTTAAACAATAAAATATTTACCATGGCCACCTTCCCACTCCATGACCCAGTCTTTGTATACCCATCCATTGGCAATCTCTGTGATATTAAAATCCAAAAAGTGGAAGAAAGACAGATTAGAGTTTATCCGTTTCGAATACAGTCAACAAATAATTTATGGACTATGCTACTTGTACATGAAAATGGAACATAAGAGATTACATAATTGATGTGGAGGAAAAAGATTGGATAAAAAAGTTGATTATGTTTTAAATTGACAAATGGTAAAGTGCCACGTAACATTATGTAATCCCTTGTATAAACGTTTTTGTCATGTATCTGGGTCCAATATTTGTTAAAAATGAAGACGAGGAAAAAGAAGAATAAACAAGAAGCTTTGGTCAGAAAATGATTATATATATTGGAGGGATCGCTAGTATAATTTTATTTTACGGGTTTCTATAAGAGGGAAAACATAGGATTAGCCTCCACACATAGCCCACAAACTATCCTCTTTAGCTACTTTAGATCGTTGTGATCGCGTCCGGTGTGATTATATTCCTTATTCCATCTCGTCTGCAGTTAGTTGAAGTATCATTCAATAATACGTTGCTTTGATTTCCAAAAAGAAAGAAGGAAAAAAAAAAGGTTCTGTATGGGGATTTGCTTCAGTTCTTCCTCCATAAACAAGGAGCCCATCGCCACTGAGAAGTTTACTACAGGTTTTTTCTGGTTAATTGTATCAAACTCATCTGGGTGTGAGTAGTGTGAATTGCTTTTCTCTTTTTCAATGTCCGTGTTCGTTTGTGTATGAAATGTCAAAAAGAATAATTGGCATGGATGAAAAGGTTGGAACCTGTGGCGCTACGAAGCTGCATATTTTTGTGTACACGAATACAAATGTCTTTTTAACGTGCCATTCGATTTCTAAAAAAGATCACCAATGATGTCCGTCATGGTCGCTTTAATATAGTTTCCTCATATTTTATGTTGTTGGGAATACTACAGCAGAATACAAGCACAATATTCAGAATAAAATGTTCTACAAGCTCATCATACCAACCAAGGAACAAGTTCAATACCCAATTTTATAACCTCAGTATACAGCATTCAACCTAGATTACTAACTTCATCATAGCATAACTGATGTACAGAAACAGCAGGATATCATTCAACTCAAGTAATGACTACAAATATATATATACTGTAGAAGCCGAAATGGAGAAGCTAAAGTAACGAAACCGAAAGGCCAAAATTCTAAATGGACAGAACAATAAAAGGGCAGAGAGATCCTTCCCTTTCTACCGATCAAATCTCCAGTTCTTCTTCCTGGTTTCGGCTGAAGTGCAGGCTCAGGAACAGCTTCAACCACGCCACGCAAATCGCCCTCCAGAGAGATGTTCTTAGAGAAAACCAGGGTAAGATTTACCATTGTTTAATAGACTCTAGCCTCAGATTTTAGGGAAGAAAACCGGCACCAATCAGCTACTCTTTCAAGCCTTAGTATACCCAAGGTTAACCCCATGAATCACTAGAATCAAACCATAGAAATCACCCAAAGGGAAGAGAACCCTACTGCACAGAGAAGCCCCAGAGAACGTGAGAGAAATCGAGAGAGTTCGAGAGTGAGAGGAAGTGTCTCAAGTAAGCCAAGCCCTAAGAAAATATCTAGGTAAGTTTTGATCCCAACCGTAGATCAAGATCAAGGGACACAATTAATCCTCACAAGTAGCACAAAAAACCGGGTCAGCCCAATGGGCCAGGAGAACCACAAAACCCACATATGTGTTGTATATATATATAGAGCCTAATATAATGTATGATTTTCTTCTTGGCCGTTGTTCAACCTTATGGAAATGTTGGAAGTTTGCATATATATTAGGTTGACGTAATATTTCGCAATTTCTGGTGTTACTAGGGTACTTCAAAAAATTTGCACACTGATTAGGCTGCCCTTGTATTTTCTCTTATGAAGAATATTAGGGGAGCTTCCTTCGGGGTAGTACAGAGATAACACACGGAAGCGTGAGTCTAGAAACACAATGGAATCATCTTCTTCAGTGGCATTGAGTCAATGTATCTCTGAAATTGAGAGTTAACCACTTTAACTCGTGTGCTATCTTGCTTCAATGCTCTCAGAAATATAGGATAAGCGATTCATCTAAGTAACATAATTAATAAGCCTCCAGGGAGTATGATGATGGCGATGCATCGTTAACTGAGTTTTATGCTATGTCACAGCAAATAATCAATTCGAAAAATGCCCTTAAATATTCATGTGCGCTATAACTTTGATTTTCTTTGTTAGAATGTTCCATCTTAAATTTGCGTTTGTGTAATGCACTTGCCATCTCAGGCAGCTAGTAATATAATATCATTGACAGGCAGGATTTTCTCTAGGAATGGCGAATTCTCAGAGGCAAGTGGAGGCCATGAGGCTTGTCCAACAGGAGAAATTCTACCTCTCCCCAGATTAAGGATTTTCTCTTTTTCAGAACTGAAGGCTGCAACAAGAAATTTTAGGAGTGACACATTGTTGGGAGAAGGTGGCTTTGGGAAAGTTTATAAAGGCTGGCTTTATGAGAAAGGCATGATCATTCATGGAAGTGCTCCCGAAATTGCAGTTAAGAGGTTAAACGCTGAGAGCTTGCAAGGATTTCAAGAGTGGCAGGTGATTCATAAACAATTTGTTATTGAATAATTTGTAATAATTTTTTCTATAGAAGTATCTCTTCTTTGAATTATAATTTGATTGGCCGATAATGCAACATTTTTAACAGCTGTTATTTCGGTGAATGTAAAGGTCATTAAGAACTATTTACTATTTGAAATTCAATTTTTGGACTGCAACTTATGTTTGTTGTTCAAGTGATGATATTAATATTGCTTTGTCTAATAATTTTAGTTTATATGCCTATTTGGAGTTGGTAAGGAATATTTGGTCATTCGTCATCTCATGCCCATTTATTTAATTTGCTAGTCATTGTATCAAGTTTAGAAAATAACAACAAACTAAGGCCTATGTGAATCCTTATTTATCATTTTTCTTTGTTCATTACTTCATATAACGGAAGATCTAACGCAACTAAATCCTTAGCAAACAAGACATGAAAATTTGTGTACTCCTTCCATATTCTAACCTGCACTACTAAAATTGTATCTATCTTATGAATAGGAGCCTCACCATGTCAACACAAAGCATGACTTGACAACCGAAATCGTCATTCCTTTAACTCATCGCACATCCACGCGTTTACGTATATTCTCATTTTTATCTATCCATTTTAATAATTGCACAGTTATTGTAGCATTTCTAATTTTGCTACATTCATCTTTTAGGCTGTCCTTTTAACAACCCAACACTCGGAACCATAAAGCATAGATGGCGGTCCAATCACCGTTGTGTAGAACTTGCTTTTTAAAATTAATGAAATCTTCTCCTTATTATGTGGTTTAGTATCCTTGATACTCCTAGAACCTCGCTATATTTCTAGTGCAACTAGCCATTCAAAAGGGAGATTCTCTAATTCTAGAAGGTAGAAACACAGAGATTCTTTCCAAGTTATTCCTTTTATCTCTGTTAATGCTTCTTAATTTTTTTTATTCCCTTTTATATAATGTAAAATTTCTTTTCTGGTAGTTGGGTGTATTTCTAGAAATCCTTCAAAAATTTCTCGTATGAGTCCATTTTTAGATTGCCAAAATTAAGCCATAATTAGAAGTTAGAGACTGTAATCGTGGCCTAAAAACAAATACGAATTATAGTTTTGTTCAATTTTCTAGAATAGAACATTATATAGTTATTTATTTCCTATACCAGCAGATTATGTTGCCTTTGTGTTCAGATCAAGCCTAATAGTTAACTTAATTTGTTCTGACACTTCTACATTTTGTTCATTTATCTCTACAGTCTGAGATAAATTTCCTCGGAAGGCTTTCTCATGCAAATCTGGTTAAGCTGTTTGGATACTGTTGGGAGGATAAAGAGCTATTACTTATCTATGAATTTATGCAAAAAGGCAGCTTAGATTCCCACCTTTTCGGAAGTAAGGGAATTAATTGTTGTATAAATATTTGAAGACTCATATTACATGGATTAGCTGATGGCCATATTCTTTTATTGTCTAAAATCTAAATAATTAGTTCTGTTGAGCATTTCATGTTCAGGTGGTTCTTCTCTTCTGCCTCTTCCGTGGGACGTAAGGCTTAAAGTTTTAATTGGCGCAGCTCGAGGACTTGCATTCTTGCATGCATCAGACAAAAAAGTTATATATAGAGACTTCAAGACGTCAAACATATTGCTCGACGGGGTAAGTTTTGTGCAGATGATTTACTACTGATTAATATTCTGTCACTTCTTTTGAATTATGGAACTCTGCCTTGTTACTTTCATCATAATAAGGCGTGACATAGTTCTTTCAAGAATAGTTGTTCGCCACAAATATTAGTCGTTTTATACTTTTAAGAGCTGGATAAAAATATTGATGAAGTTGTGGTAACAGAAGATTTTATAGCTAGAAGTATATTTATATTTTTTGACACTGGTCAAGATTTTCTTCCAGTCATACAATGCAAAGATATCAGATTTTGGCCTCGCAAAAATAGGTCCTACCCCTAGTAAATCTCATGTGAGTACACGGGTTTTCGGGACAGAAGGTTATGCTGCTCCTGAGTATGTTGCCACAGGTAATTTGCGAAGCAAGTTGGGCTAGCATTAAGAAAAGATTAATTGTTCATATTCTGATGCCATTCTTAAATGTGAAGCAGGGCACTTGTACGTGAAGAGTGATGTCTATGGTTTTGGTGTCGTTATGTTGGAAATGCTTACGGGGTTGAGGGTAATTGACCCAAATCGTCCAGATGGTCAGCAAAATCTGATTGAATGGGTGAATCCACATTTATCTGACAGAAGGAAGTTGAAGAACATAATGGATTCTCGTCTTGGAGGAAAATATCCTTCCAGATATGCATTAGAAATAGCTCAGCTTGCATTAGTATGTCTTGAAAATGAACCAAAAGACCGACCATCAATGCAAGAAGTTGTTGAGACCTTGGAACGGATTGATTCTGTCAATCACAAACATGGAGAGGATGTAATAAATTCTGGATATCCCACAGCTTCTCAAGACCAGAAAGTCTTGCAATATCATTCTCCACTTCATCCAAAGCAAAACATGAAGTTAGCCTACCCACTGCCAAAGCCCTCAAGTTTTAGTTAGCGTTTTCAGTAAAACAGGTGTGTAAGCACATTTGTCCTCAGTTACATGGCCCTCAATCATCAATCAGATGAATTTATTTTATTTGTCAAATTCCATGTTATGTTACAATTTGAGCAAATATCATGAGGCTCCAAGGTTACAATTGAAAATTATGAATAAACTGTGCAAATTGTGAAGACGAACATAGTTCACAATTTATATACTAACAATAGTTGATGACTCGAGAATAAAATTGGGCATTTTATTATGAGAAAGTCATATTGTCTTCTATTTCAAAACCGGGTAAACAATTCACCTTAACCAAAGGAGTGGAGACTCGTTAAGATTAGATTTCGAATACATGAATATATTAGACAAGACCAAGAGCGAGTTATGTGGACTGACCATTGGAACTAGTGGTGGCAAAAAAAGCTTGCCGGCTCGGCCGAGCCCTATTTTGGGGGGACGGCCCGTGATTACTTTAAAAAAAAATTAAAAATAATAACAAAAAAATTTTAAAGCTAAAATAGCTGAAAAAGATTAAAAAACCGAGCCGGCGGCCCGCTAAGGCTCGAGCCAAAGCTTGGGCCGAGTCTTATTTTTTTGGCCGAGCTCGGCTCGGGCCAGAAAAAAGCTTGAGTCGAGCCTAAGCTTTTTTTTCGGCTCGGGCTCGGCTCGGCTCGACTCGGTTCGTTGACATAGCTAATTGGAACAAATTATATTCAACGAGATCAACTTCGAGGACTATATTTTGGAGTGTTAAGTGAGATGAGCTGCTCACGGGACTAATTATGCTTCATTTTCTTGAAATGAATTTCCCTTCTCCCAGCCTTCCGCTCTGATTTGTTTCGGAGAAACACAATTTTCTGGGTATTAAACTGACTCACCGGACAATATTTTCTGCTTCATTTTCTTGAAATGAATTTTTTTTCCAGCCTTTTCGTTTGATTTGTTTTGGAGAAACACAATTTTCTGGGTATCATGTAGAGAAGTTTTTGATTTATCAATGAAAAATTAAAGATACCTATGCCTCAGAGACTGTAATATTCTAGTTGTATTCATATTACTCGTGAAAGGGTTATCCTATGGATTTATAAGAACTTTGGACACTATTCAACTATTAGCCCATATTAAGGGTAAGTAAAGAGAATTAGTTAGAAGGTAGTATATATTTCAAATCGCACGCATGAAATATTTCCATCGCCTGAGTTCACAATTTTTTTATGGCCACACACATTGTTTTATGGCAGTCAATTTTTATTCCGCAATTTTTATGGTCATTCACATTCACATACACATACCTATCATTTTGAAATTATTTGGCCTACCACTTTTGCATAACATTTTTGTGATTTATATTCATTGAAGTTGCCACATTAAATCACACGTATTCACTCTAATTATGGTGGAAGACAATATTAGTGTGAAATAATAAACTTCTATTCACTGCAGTTAGTTACTGTGTTCATGTAATGTTGGTCCTTATAAGTGTTTTCTTTAATTTAATAATAGTCAATAGTTATGTATATCTATCTTAAGTTTTTGCTTCTTATTTATCGTTCGATTAATTATCACGTTCTTATTCTTTTAATACGTAGTTTAGTTTATGAATCTAGTACTCGTATATTAATCTATTATAAGATTGTTGTTGTTTATGAAGTAGCACACCATTATAATTAATATTGTAAAAAAAAAAAAATATATGTTGTTGCGTTCTCGAAGATGTACAACATCGCAAATATTAACACTTAGCTAAAAAACATATTCCTGAAGAGTAAATTTTTCTAAATAATAGTTTGTTGATACTCTTGAAGTAGCACAACATTATTAATATTTTTAAAAAGAATATTACTTACTCTTGAAGAGCATACTATTATAATTTCAATATTTCAGAAGAATATTTATTGAAAAAATACTTACTCTATAAATAATGCATGACTCCTGAAGAGTTAATATTTCTAAATAATAAGATATTATTGCTTCTGAAGTAGGACACTATTATTGACAAATATTCTAGTTAGATTTTTACTCCCTCCCGGAGAGCATACTTAAATACGATCTAACGTAAATTATGTTTTTACTTCTGAAGAGTAAATCATTATATAATTTATTATAATAATATGTGATTACTCTTGAAGAGTATGGATTATAATTTTCAATATTTTAAAATTATATTAACATATTGTTTTAGAAGAAGCAAAAATAATACACATTAATATATAATTGAAGTATATCTTATATTGAATTAGAAGTTCAATTTAATTTTATTATTTGGCACGACCAGTTGGATCATCGTTGGTTCAATAATGATGCAAAATTAAAAATTCGTTTGGACATTGAATGAAGAACTAGAAGATTCTTCAATCTAATGAAATCATATATGGAATTTGTTCTCTTTTATGAAAATTGGTCAATAACCATCACTAGTTAAAGCTAGTGATAATTTGGCCACATCATCTTTCACGTTGACCATCTAAATTTTATTTGTATCTAATAGACTTGATGCATATACTAGATGATTGCGTGATGTTCGCAACCTGAAATTTACGACATTATTGCTCAAATTATGAAAATAATTTTCAAATTATATAATCAAGGCGGCATGTCTTGTTAACGCTAGTGATCATAAATCTCAACTTTTTACTAAGTGTTAGTTGAGATGTCAATAAATTGTTTAACACTATTGTTTGTTAAACATCTTCAATTAATTTCATTGAGAACAAAGTATTTCACATTTCTGTTTAGGGAATGCTATTACGTATCATATCAACATCATAATTCTCCATATTATAATTGATTTATGGTATGAGCCTAATTTTTTCGTCTAATTGTTTGGTAGTGCATATATGTGCAATTAATCCACCACATTACACTAAGATGAAAAGTAAAGAATGTTGAGAATAAATGTGTGGTTCGAACACAATATCTTAAGCCCTAACGGACGATATTTTATAAAACGATTTTCTGATTGTCAATTTGATTGAAAAATTTTCTCAGCATTAGTGGGTCGAATTAAGAAGTTGAAAATAATATACAAAGCATCATTATCTAAATTCTCGCAAAAAATAATTCGAACCAGAAGTTTGCGGATAATTTATTTAGATGCATTTATTAACCAAAGAGATCAACAATATCTAACACACCAGTTTTAAATAGTTCGGCTCGAATTAACGTTTTGGATGATAATTAGCTAATATTATATTTGATAAATTTATGGCATGCCTGAGCGTGATAATATTCGATTCTAATATAAAAATCTCCAAATGAAAAAGGAAAAAATAACAAAGATGGTCCCATTAAAGAGTATATATTCTTAATGAGTATTTAGACATAACAAATTATAAAACCCCGAAAGAGGTTCGAGTACCTGAAGTATTGAAATTGAGATATCTCAATAAGTTATGTCATTATAGAAAAATAAATAGAATCGAAAATAGAAAAGAAAAAGTTGTCAATAATACTTTTGCACATGATGTACTACATCATATTATGAATAGCGAGGAATCAAAATAANTGTACTACATCATATTATGAATAGTGAGGAATCAAAATAAATTCGTCGAAACATATCGATCGAAATAATGATTAGCCAAATAAAATAACGCACTAAAATTGAATTTACTAAAGAAATCTGAAGTTTTTGGACGCGATCATAGTAAAATTAAACTTACTAGTGAAACCTGAAATTTGTAGATCTACGGTCTGAATACATAAATGTGTATATTTATGTGAAATGACGACTCTTTACATAATAAATTTCACGAAAAATTGTATAAATAGATAAATTATCATGTTGTCTCACAAGTCTCTATTTTATTAGCGTGACAATACATGAAATTTGATATGCATGTAATAAATGTGATTATAAACAATTGCTCTTGTATGATTTTGATACTATCCTGGAATGATTTAATGTCTCAAGCATAATTCAAGTGAAATTATCACGAGGGGAGTAAATATGCGTTGTACTCTTTTTCACTTGACCAAAGTTTTGTCCTATTGGGTTTTTCGGACAAGATTTTTAATGAGAAAATTTTTGTAGCGTATTCAAAAAAATAATGTACTCATTTTTCCTTCATTGGGATTTTTTCCACGGGGGTTTTCTTAATAAGGTTTGAACGAGTCATATTTTTTGTGTAATGGACATCCATAACATACAAGACATTTACCATCAGAATAATACTTTTTTATGTATGAGACTCCTGAAGAAATGAGTAAAAGTTATTTTTCGAATCATCATTTTTACTATGATCATTAAATGTTGATAAATATTTTGTATGAAGACGATGTTATTTGAAGGCATTGACGTTCAAGACATCAATATTGTTGATATACAAGACACGGATTGTTTGATACAAGAATTGAAATAACGGGAAGTAGCTGTACTCTTTTTCTTTCGATCAAGAATTGAAATAACGAGTTTTCTTGACAAGATTTTAACGAGGCAGCAGTTTTTTACTTCAAATTTTCTGTACTTTGTTTTTTTTTTTTTTTTAATTTGTTGAAATTTTTGTTCCATCGGTGTTTTTGCCAAACAAGTTTCAATGAGATAGTTATTGTACAAATAATCATCAAAGAGGGAGTGTTGTAAAATAATGAGATAATTATTGATGATTATTTAGTGTTATCATGATGCATAAATAAATCTTATCTAGTGTAGAAAGTCCATTTAATTCTAATTGTAACTCTTATTTTGAACCAATAAATACGGGTCTTAATTATCAATAAAATACACACTTGAGTTTTGACTCTCTACTTTTCTCTTTATTTATTCTATATATTTTATTTTTTATTCCTTTAATTTTATAACAGAGTGATTTTTTCATTTTTTTTTTTTGAAAGAAGGCAACTTCCCTACTTTCTGAGTAATTTCCAAGATCAATTTACAAATGAATAAGATGTAGTAATTCATAATTAGACAGAAGAAAAATTATCTGTCAAAATTCAAGTCACTATAGTTTGTTGGATTTGCCACCACTCTGCTATGGTAAAAGCATACATTGAACATAAAGAAAATGCTATTTTTATTGATTTTTTAACAGATGAGGTTACAGGTGCTGAGCTCGCAAGATTTTATTGCCCATGCTACTTTGTTTTTTGTCCAAAATGGTGTGAAATCTTGTCAGCTCAGCGTTTTGTAAAGTCATCTGGTTGGTTAACCTGTACAAGTAGCATTTCTATGAGGGTTGTGCTATAGGCCCTGTCCAAGAAGAATGAATAATGCTAAACGACCCGTGCCGGTGACCGCGGGGATGACCGCACACTCATAGCCTCAGCGTGGGTCCCACCCCCGAATAAAATAACTCAACCCCCTCTTGTGTAAGCGGGGTCATTCCCGCGGTCAACCACGCGAGCACTGTAGCATGGTTCAAGAAGAATTTCCCTTTCTCTGAAATCTTCTGACATGAAACTTCTCTCTCATATTTATGCATATAGACACGTTAATCAAAATCAATGGATAAGTTATGTATATTCAAACAACCATGACAAAGAATTACATCTATATATTATTAACAATTCTTTCCACGCTTGTCTCCATAGTTTTATCTAATAATAGTTTGGCCATGAACAGAAAACTTGGATAAGAACTGGTAAGAAGAGACCTATTCTTTTGTGGATAGGTTTTACTTGCCGGACTAATTATGACAGAGAGTTAATGACCTAGGAGATACTATTGCGAGGAAATCCATAAACTCTCTTATGAAGTATTTGGTTATTGGCAATAACATTTTCCTCAGACTTTATCGCCGTCAAACTAATGGGTAGTTAACTTGAGCAAACTCCTAGAAATAGAGTGCAGTACAGTGATCTAAATATTTTAATTTCAACATGTTTGGATTCTTTAAAAGTCTAAAGTTGAATTTGTCCCATAACATACTCAACACAGATATTTTTAGCATGATTTCTATCTCTATTCTCCAGAAGAATTTTGGTTTAGAAATATTATTTTCTCTACTCTTCATCCGATTGATATCTGCAATAATCTCCCAAAGCTTAACATGCTATAAATTTCATGTAATCAAATCAGTGGCAATGATACTAAAAGCTTGGGACCTATGAGAAGCTTAAACAATTTTCTGTTGTCATGCGTTCAGTCTAATTTTCGCCATGTATATATTTTCAACAATATGTGCTGGATTGCTAACACGCCTGATATAAAAGTAAACCATTTCAAAAATTTGTAAATAAATTTTTAATAAACATTATAACTAATACATCTGATCTTCCTTTGATCTAAAATACAACTCTATCAACATTAAAGTTTTCATCACTAGCTGAATATTGCTGTCATTGTAAAAAAGAGTTCTTTTGGTTTTCAAGAATGCAATTTTCGGCTTACCTAAATACGGGACCACTAAACACAGAACATGCTTGGGAGTGATTATAAGTTGTGAATTCCACGAAATTTGAGGATAATTAGTGAGTAGTAATTGTGGGTTTTATGAATGTGTGTTGACAGTCAATGGACAACGAAAAACAAATCTAATGAAGATTTTATTTTCATTTCCTTTTCAAATGAAGCAACTTCGATCGCTATGTTCTAGGCAATTTCTATTGTTCGTTTAATATTACCACACATCACCATTTTGACAAGAAAAGATTTGATAATGAGTGCTTTTAAATCAATCCTTAGAGCAACACGCCTATTTAATTCAAGTCATCTGCTGGATCCCTATAACTCCTCCTCATTATAAAAGCAGATCTTAAACATAATCTGTTGTCCCATAAAAACTTGTATACGTACTGGCGTACATCACGCAAGGCTCCACTNTTTAAATCAATCCTCGTAGCAACACCTGCTTTTAAATCAATTTCTATTGTTCGTTTAATATTACCACATATCACCATTTTGACAAGAAAAGATTTGATAATGAGTGCTTTTAAATCAATCCTTAGAGCAACACGCCTATTTAATTCAAGTCATCTGCTGGATCCCTATAACTCCTCCTCATTATAAAAGCAGATCTTAAACATAATCTGTTGTCCCATAAAAACTTGTATACGTACTGGCGTACATCACGCAAGGCTCCACTCCAAACAGCTTCATTTTATATTTTCAAACAAACATGGGAAATAATGTTTTATTGACAATGTTTTATATCATTATCTGTGTGGTAGCACATCTCAATCACTCCAGTGGATGAGTCTGCTCTTCGAGCCTTCAAATTTAAAATAACGTTTGATCCATATAATATCTTGGCCAAGAACTGGTCACAAGGAACCCCTTATTGTAATTGAATTGTATTACTTGCAGCTTTCATTAATGGGTCTAAAGCTTTATCCTTGATGAAATAGGTAGTTTGACTAATTTATAGCTTTCTATAATTCCTTGAAATTTTAAATTGAGAATTAGAACCAGAAAACTCAATAGAACAATCAATACATGATTTGTTAATGGTGGAAAGATTAATGTCGGTTTAACTACAAGTGCATATTTTATACAAAACATAGAACAGGGCTCTACAAAATAAAATTTTTACTTCCTTTTTTTCATAATATCGTTTAATACTACCTAACCCTTCATATCATGTAGTAAACGAGACTACAAATGATCTTCAATTGGATGAAGAAAACATTAGAGGTATTCAACGAGTTTATTATTTGAATTTAAAACATTATGTAATTTTTAACAAATATAAACAACTAATATTTGAATTTAATATTTTGATATCTTAATTTCCTGTTTATTATTACAAAATGATTATTTAATTTTAATATTTGCAATTATGAATATTTGACTTTACATTCCAATTTTTTGAATATCTTGAAATTCTTTGACAGGAGACATTCCACATGAAATTGGAAACTTATCCATGCTTCAGTCTTTAGATTTGGATGGCAATCACTTGACAGGTAACTAGTTATCTATATGAAATCAAGGAGTAACTGAAGTGGCTTTACTTGAGTGCGATGTTGTGTTGTTTAAGACATCCCTGATAATCAGCTGATGAACGATCCTTCAATGTTGGAATTGGATTTCATTACTTTGTTAACAAATTGGAATAAGTTGAAGACCATACAGATCGGAAACAATAATTTTGACAGAAGGCTTTCGAAATCCTCGAAACTCTTTTGCAAGGAAAATTCTACTTGTACAATCGAAGTTGACAACCTCTCACATGTGTGCGGGGTCCACGTGTTTAAAAATTTTAAAAAAAAAAAAATGTGACCCTCCCATGTGAGTGGTTGTCAACTAGATCGGCAATCTCGATTGTACAACTAGCATAGTCCCTTTTGCAATTGGATGCTGGTTCTTTTGGCATCGAAGGCCCAATTCCCAATGAAATTGGTAACCTTAGGAATTTAATGCGGTTAGACATGGGAGGCAATGACTTGAACGGAGGAATTCCTGACGCACTGGGAAAATTAAAGAAGTTGCAAAAGCTGAAAATTAATAGCAGTAATCTAACCGGGTCAATTCCTGTCACCCTTTGTGAGTTGGGACGTCTTTTTGAACTGAATTTGGAGAACAATCAGCTCTCTCATCCACTACTGGGGTGCTTGGGAAACATTAGTTCATTACGAAAAATTTATTTAGGTCACAACGAATTGACTTCAGTTGAACTATCAGCATTATGGACAAACAAGGATCTTCAAATTGTTGACTTGTCTTATAATAATCTTAATGGTTCTCTGGGTTCAGAAATCGGCAGCGTAAAGGGGATGCAATTGCTAAATTTATCAGGAAATCAATTCTCAAGTGATATTCCAAACACTATTGGACAACTTTGAGAATTTGGAAAACCTAATTTTTTCGAGCAATAAGTTACATATCTATACCGGAGTCGTTCTCAGAATTGATTGCACCGAATATTTGGATCTATCTCACAATAATCTCTTTGGTGTTATTCCCAAGTCATTAGAGACACTTAAGAACCTTGTGTACTTAAACGTTTCGTTTAATGAACTTAGTGGTGAAATTCCAAATGAAGGGATTTTTAAGAACTTAACAGCAAGTTCTTTCACAGGCAATAGAGACTTATGCGGAGCATCTCAATTTGAGGTAATGCAGTGCAAAGCTAATACAACTAGATCATCGAGCAAGACTAGAGTTTTGAAATATGTTTTACCATCAGTTGCATTGGTAATAATCCTTACCATTATTATGATTTGGTTAACGACACGTTGCAATAGAAAAACAGTTCTTGCATCTCAGTCTAGTTCACTCATCACCGTTAAGAGGATTTCATATTATGATATTCATAAATCTACCAACAACTTTGATGATGAGAATTTGATTGGTAGAGGCAGTATTGGTTCAGTATACAAAAGAACATTTTTCGATGGAATGATTGCTGCTATTAAGGTTTTTAATTTGAACTTGGAAACTGCAAACAAGAGCTTTGATACAGAGTGCAACATGTTGTGCAACATTCGTCATAGAAATCTTGTCAATCAGTTGCATTGGTAATAATCCTTGCCATTATTATGATTTGGTTAACGACACGTTGCAATAGAAAAACAGCTCTTGCATCTCAGTCTAGTTCACTCATCACGGTTAAGAGGATTTCATATTATGATATTCATAAATCTACCAACAACTTTGATGATGAGAATTTGATTGGTAGAGGCAGTATTGGTTCAGTATACAAAGGAACATTTTTCGATGGAATGATTGCTGCTATTAAGGTTTTTAATTTGAACTTGGAAACTGCAAACAAGAGCTTTGATACAGAGTGCAACATGTTGTGCAACATTCGTCATAGAAATCTTGTCACTGGACTTGGAAGGTGCAAACCACAGTTTTGATATTGAGTGCAAAAGATTGTGCAACATTCGTCATAGAAATCTTGTCAAGGTAATCTAACCTTGATTTTAAAGGCTTGGTGCTGGATTACATGCCTAAAGGTAACTTTAGTAGTTGGTTGTACTCTTTCGGCTATTTCCTAATTGGAAATAATGATAGATTTGGCATCTGCATTGTCATATGTACATTGTGAGCATATTTCTCCAGTGGTTCATTGTGATTTGAAGCCGAGCAACATACTTCTAGATGAAGATATGGTTGTCCGTGTAGGAGATATTGGAATTTCCAAACTCTTGACAGAAGACCAGAGAATTTTGCCTACCCAAACATTGGATATATGGCGCCAGGTAAATGGTTTTATCAAGTTTTTCTACATTAACTGTGATTCACATAAATGTCTTGCTAACATTTTATTTAGTGTATAAACATGTAACCCATTTCTAGTTTTAAATCTATAGGGGCTTAAAGTCAAGTTGTGCTTTCTTTACGCTTATCAATTACTTAATTCTTATTTGCTTATTTATCATTTACAACTGACTGGTTAATTTCTGATCTTATATTCCAATTCCACTAGAGTACTGATCAACTGGATTGATATCGACTATGGCAGATGTTTATAGCTAAGGAATAATCTTGATGGAAACATTTACCAAAAAGAAACCCACAGACGATATTTTTGCTGGAGATTTAAGTATGAGGGGATGGTTGTTTGAATTATACCCCGATAAAGTAATTCAGGCAATGGATGTGGATCTAGTGGATGGAGTTGAAGAGAACATTGAAGCTAAAGAGCTGCTTCAGATCAATTATGGGACTGGCAATGGAATGCACATCTGATTTGCCTGAGGAGAGGCTCAATATGGAAAATGTACTATTAAGGCTCAAGAAGATCAAAATGGAATTTCTTTCTAACGTTACCGAGGAAGAATGAGACAAAGAGGTTTGTTTTGTATCACTGATGAAATCATAAACTATTTTTTCATTTCATTGAATGCCTAAAAGTTCTTTATTCTTGCCATTCATTATTCAGGTCTCTTTTGAGTCCCTGCTTTGTATTGATTGTTATTGAACACCAACTTATCATCTCTCAAAAGCTTTTATGTTGCAATTGCAGAATATTTGATAAAGGACTAAAGGTTGGTTTGACTTCCACTGCTGTGATGCAGAGCATAGTAGCTGCCATGTATAAATTTTCTTAATACATAAATTTGCCAACACAACCTAGATGGAGAGGTGGAAAGGTTGTGTTGTTTATATTTTGTCTTTTTCAATCTGTTAAATTTTATTAGAATGTAATGATCAACACTGTTTGTGCAATTAGTCAAACTATTGCAAAGGGACACTATAATATTTTTTTCCCTTTGGCTTGCAAACAAATACAAGATTTACTAATTACTGAAAGTCTGAGAATAAGAATGCGTTGAAAAAAAGTTAAGGATGCAAGTGTTACAATGAATAAAAGATTGACGAGTTAGTGCAACTAAAGCGGTGCAAATAATAAAAAGTGTAGTGTGAAATAATTATCCATTTTTTAATTACGTAAGGTTATATTTGTACAATTGCTATGGTATATTTATAGAATTCGTGTTTTAATAATCATGCATTTATAATCTAGTGGAACAAAAAAAATTTGTGGTTACAATATACCCACCTTTTTTTAATGAAAACTGCCTAGGAGGATTGTTGTCAGTAATGATGTCCAAATGTTGGGGACGGTGGCTCTAACTTACCCTAATTAATATTCTCATAAAATTATATTCCAAAGAAGTTGATAGTGATTTTTTCATATTTTTCAGGAAAAGAAAAAAAACATCCCTACATTCCCAAAAAATTCCAAAAGCAAATTCTTACAAAAGAATAAGAAGCTATTCTTCAAAATTAGACAGACGAAAAATTATAAATGTGATCAACATTCAAGTTAGTTCAAGTCATTTGTTGGATCACGACCACTCGGTAAAAGCATACAATGAACAATTAGACAAAAGAAAAATTACAAATGATGATTGACCCACTTACTAGCTCCTAGAGCGACAATAATTAGGTTTCACAATTTATGTCCTATTTGAGCCAAATTATTATAGAATGAGAATGAAAAATATAGTCATTATTGGGGCCCACATAAGAGATAGAAAATTTGAATTTAAATGTTGATGTGATGGATAACGGTAATATTTTTCATTTTAATGAGATAATAATGTAGATCAAACGGGGGCTTAATATTTTTCTCTTCTCATGTTTAGTCTTATTTTTGGCGCATAATATTCTTTTGGATGGATAGACGGAAGAACTTGATGATAAGTAGCCAATTTTATTTTATTTTATTTATTTATTATTTTTTTACAAGCAGCCATTCACCCAAAAATAAGTTTTAGTTGGGGGTGGCTTGCTTTAATAAAAATAACACGCTTGCTTTGTATCAATGATACAAATATAAGAGTTTTTAAATCAATCTCCAATAATACGCCTTCTTAAAAAAAAAAAAAACCCCTTTTTCTCTCCCCAGCCCTAGCCGCCCAGTATTGGTAAAACTTCCAATTTCTCTGCTTCCGGCGAGCGGCATCGCGCCGCTCGTCCGGCCTTTTAGTTCTTTTATTTTAGTTTTTTTGCTTATTGTCCTCTTTTCTCTTCGGCTCGCCACTCCCAATTCTCCCTTTGCTTGCAAAGGTGAGGTTTTTCTTCCCCTCCCTTTGCTTGCAAAGGTGAGGGTTTTCTTCTAGGTTCCTTTGGAATCCTAGTTTTGTCCTCCTGACTCCTTGTCTGTGAGGTTTTGTTTGGCGGTGTGGCTCTGCCTGTATGCTTCAGTTGCTATCCATGGCGTTGGTTCGTGTTTGGGCTTGGTGT